AGACGCACAAACAGCAGCGCGGCTGCACGCAGAGCTACTGTCAGGACCCCCCCCACCCCTCCCCCACACACCCTCTGTGTGGTTACACACACACACACACGGACACATTTCCGCGCATGCCACTGTGCTCTTTGTTCTGTCAGGGCTGTTTCTGTGACGGATGGGTCGGAACAGGCATTGTGGGGTGGGGGTGGTGCCTGTGTGAGGTTGAGGAGGCTCGGGCCTTTCTCAGCCCGACACCCGCAGAGAAAATGGGCTCCACATGAAGATAGCATCGCGGGAATTACATCTAGCAGCCTTTATAAAGGAGCTGCGACTGCGGCTGGACCCAAAGGCTCTATGGACCTCCTGAAGTTCAACATTATGAGGATCTGTCTACACTACTTGTATGTGAACGTGAGCTGAGGTGACACAGTGATCCTCCCCTGGGATTAAACCACAGGATGAACCACGGATCATGCATGAGAGCCCCTCTTTCACACACTCTACTGCAGCTCCTGTTTAAGAGCATTTACTTTAGGAGGTCTGCGAGGAGAAATATTATTCCAGGAGTCTCAAGTTTTCCTGCTTATTTCTAGCAATAAACCATGTGTAGGCTGCATGCACTGAGAGGGAAACAGTACTTGTTGCAACTGGATAAATATCGTGATACGACACTAATAATAATGTATGACAGCGACTTGTTAACCCCAGCATTTAAACCCTTTTAAAACGCACAACGAAACAGTGACCTGAGGACAATAATGGGGCTGATGCCCCATAATCCTCCTGAAACAGGTCACATTCAGTACCAAACAGCTGACAGTTTGAAATGTTCTGCAAGTGAAGACCACTGGGTCAAAGTGGGGACAATGAGCTGTTGGAACGCGTTGGAAACAGCGGTTGGAGACACTGAGGTCCATGTGGATGAATGGCCGCTCACCTCTTGAAGTGGCTAAGGAGGGTGCCGACCAGCTCCCCGATGCGGCTCTCGTTGGCGGGCACCATGCCCTGCAGGCACACCACGAGGTCCCTGCTGTCCTTGGTGTGGAACACGACCAGCTGGTCCTTCCCGGGGGACACGCTCACTCCCGTCACCTGGGACAGCGGGGAGAGCGAGGGGACGGACAATTAGGCACAGATAAACATGTGCATGGAGACGCATGCGCCAGCGCGGGGTGAACACGAGTACACCACATGTAGAGTCACTCAGAAGAGGACCAGGTCTTGCCTGTTGGTCTGAAGTACGGGTCTGATGCCTGGAGTTTCGTCTTGGCCTTTACAAACCAGGGAAGACAAATGACCATATTCGGGAGTGATGCAGAGACGCTGTGGACTAACTGGTCCACAATTTACTAAATGAACATCGTGCTTTCATGAAAAAGACCATGAACATAAATCAAGAGTGAAGAAGAGTAATTTACTCAAAGACTTCTATAAGCCTCCCTGGCGGACAATGGAGAGAATGCAGCTTCAAGACACTTTAAGCATTAAATTCCCTTTTCAGTGGATGACGCCGGAGTTGAGAGTCCAACAGATCTTTTGTTAAGAGTTGTTTTTCTACAACTAGGCCGTGATGATGACGTCACTATATCAACGTTAAATCTCCTTATATTGGCAACAAAACATGGATGAATAATATTTCTATCTATTCTTTCATATCAGGACTGCAGCGGTGCTCCCAAGAGGCAGCAGAGTAACAGATGTGGTTAAAGTCAACAATGAGAAAGAAACTAACAAGGTGACATGAGACAAGTATGTAAATGAAAGGCAGTTAAAATACAACAAAAATCTCACAGTGTTATAGTTCAGTCCCTGATGAACCTGTGACTTTGTGATCAACTTGATGCATTATAGATGACCTACTGCCGGATGAAGTCGTTTTTACTTTGCATGCTACATTAAGTTCACGTTTTGTGTAAAGAGCTCTTCACATTGAAACGGAGCCAAAGTCAACAAATAACGCCGTTCTGCGGTTCTCAGAATCTCGTTTCTGGGCTTTCTCCCACTCAAAGCCTGAATCAGCACTTAAGCACTAAAGATTTATTGATCTGCATCCCAAAGGTCCGATGTTACCCATTCACAGCGCCCACCGGACACGTAAACAGAGAGCGGCGAAGCCAAAAGGGGAATCCCAGGTTTCAGCTTAACAGGTCTTCAAAGTGGACCAACATTCTGACAGGTAAACAGCCCTCCGGAGGAAAGGGAGCTCATTAAGCCCCCATTACTTTTTCTTTTTTCATTCTATTGTCTCTCCTCCTTTCCGCTTTCATCATTCCCAGCCTGTAGGTGTGCAACCGTTTAATTATTCCCCCGTTTAATTGAGGAAACAGCCACAGGGCATCCAGTCAGGCGCACTAACAAGCAGACAAGTCCTCCATCTGGGGAGGACGGGCCGAGACAGGTTGCATCCGCCGGCCACACCGCTGGCTTGCTTGCTTGCTTACCTCCGACATGACGTCTGAGAAAAACAAACACTTCCCCGTAATCAGCATGAATTAAAGCCTGAAGCTGAGCCTCTCTGTTGAGCAACTCACCCACAGTTAATTACATGGAGCCAATTACATTTACATTTATATTAAAGGCCTAATTGATTGGAACGACAGTGGATGTTCGAGTAATGATACATTCCCACTTGTTTCCTTGTCTCATTTTTTGTTGTTCCCCAAATCAGTTTTAGCCCGAATCAGAAATGAGTTGGAGGCATTTTGCTGCGCAGCCATCTGTCTGAGTGTTTGTTTGGCCACTGGGAGAAAACATGAGGAGGATGTTTTTCATTACTGCACTGCAAATAATTGGTGTTACAGACTGAAAGGCTGCTGCACAGTGAGACAGTGGCGAGGATACAGGCTGAATGCCTCTCGGAGGGGGTCTGTGTCGGACTAGATAACATTGAATCAGACATGTTAGACTCTGCAATGTATATTCAATTTACATGCAAATATTCCAGCCGTCATCCCGATTTTTTTCTCTTTATTTGCTTTATTTGATAGTAGACTGAATGTCTTTGGCTTCTCTACTGCTGGTTGGACGAAACATGCACCTTGTTTGTGACAAACAAAAAGATCCAATTTGGACTGAGGCAGAGGTGCAGTGTATCTGGTAGAGACCCGTCGATCACAGTAAGCACCGCCCTTAAGCACAACCTGCTTCATGACTCTGAATGGACCACTATTCATGAAATGATCAGGCTGTATTGAAGAAGACTGGAAACTAGAGATTGAGAACATAAACTTTTACAACGTTTACAATATTTACTGAGGGAATAAATCGAGGGACAAGTAGAGTAATTGTCTCAGACTTCTATAGGACCAGAGGAGTCGCCCCCTGGTGGCCATTAGAGAGAATGCAGCTTTAAGACCCCTCAGCATTGCTGCACTTCTCAGAAACTGAGGTTTCTGCCTGGTTTCTTTCCCATTTTTTCCCGTTTTTGTGTGTATCAATGAGCAGACTGGACTGGACCATGATGCTCTTTGTTCTGATCCCCTCTGCCGTGTACAGCAGCTTCCCCTGGTGTGTTCTTACAAGAACAAATGATCAGTCATATGATGCATCCCCACAGTCCATTAAAGATAGATAGGTGGGAAAAGGCAGCGGGAGCAAAGGGTAATTAAATGAATATTGTATAATAGGCTACACTGCTGTGAGGCAGCGGGCAAAACCACAGTCGCCAGCCTGCATGTTGCCTCCATGCGAATTCAATAGCACAATTAGGCTTCATCAGTTTCTAATCCTAATCCCAAATACTGCTTTGCATCATTTATTTCCTACCCATTGGTTAAAAATAGGCTGCACATATAAACCGTCCATCTATTTGAACAAATACGGTCTCACTGCAGCTGTAAGTGGTGGCAGACTGAATTGAAGAAATCAACCGGTGAATAAAATAAAAAGAGCCGCAGGGGTCACAAATAGGCCTCGAGGGAGGGGGGAGACAAAAGCAAACAAACAGGAGACCGATTGGTGCACATGCATGAACAACACCAGACATCAGCTGATCTGCCCTGCCGCAACGTATCCATGACAACGCTCCCTCCTGGGAAGTTGGCATGACAACAAAGGGAGGAGGGAAGCGGCGGGCAAGAGCAGTGAGAGAGGGGAAAGATGGCGCCAGACCCGAAGAGCTGAAAAACAGGGAGACGAGTCGCTGAGGCCAAATGGATCGATCTCTTCGCCGGGATACGTTTTATTAAAGAAGACAGACCGCCCGCTTTTGCGGCTCAGGCATTAACTGGCGAATAAATATAAATATAACCATCTATCAACTGTGATGCTGCCCTGCAGGAGCAGCAGGACAGGCACCGCACCGGGCAGAGGGGTTAGCCTCTCCCTGCTAATCAATGAGCTAACTGCACTGCCCTGTGCTTGACCTCCGATCGATAGCTACAGCCCGACCTCCACACCCACTTCCCCACCTTCAGCTGGACATTTAAGATGGTGATAAAACGCGAAACCAACAGTCTTCAAGGTGAACCAATGAGACACGTAAATATGTCGTTTCATTTGAAAAAGAATCCTAAAATTCCACAAAAACATTACTGAAATAGGAGAAACAACATTTGTTGATCCACATTTGGGTGCTACAGTGAATACGTATGTGTGATCGAGTCAGAACAGTGAGTGAGTCGAGAGGGATAAAAGTGAGGCTCACGCTTCGTGGCTCAAAAGGGAGAAGAGAGCTGTGGCTCGGGCTTGACAGCCTAGTTAGTAGGAACCAGCCGTTGATCTCGTGGGATTTGTTTACAATAACAAAAACATAGTAATACCAAAAGAATGATCGAGAATGAAACAAAATATTAACTTTAGATTTTTTTTAAAAGACAGCGAAAAATGTTCAATGCAATGTTAAGTGTCTGGACAACGCCTGAGGTATCAAGTTGTTAAAAGAAAACCCTTCGTTATGGTCTATTTGACTTTAAAGGGACCATCATTTACTAAATGTACGTCATGCTGTATGAAGAAGACTTGAAACTAGAGATTGAGACCATAAACTTACATATACTTACAATCTTTACTGAGGGAATAGGTCGAGAGAAGCAGCCCTTTCTCATAGACTTCTATAGGACCAGAGGACGGCCCCCCTGGTGGTCAGTGGAGAGAATGCAGCTGTAACACATGACGCTTTGGCTTCACTGGAGGTTGCTGCCTAGTTACAGTCTGTGTTTGTGTGTGTGTGTGTACTATACAACTTAAATTGTGTCACTACGTGTTCTTCTACAACACTGAGGCTCGCCATATGCCTGGTGTATGGGGCTCAGCTCAGGGTGTGTGTGTGTCTCTCTGCCACCATCTGTCTGCACTCCCAACGGGTCGAACACTGGGGCGTCTCGTCACCTCCTATGTCCCTCACTTCACGAGACAACGGGGGCCCGTCCTCCCCCTCGTGGATCGACACTTTACTCCTTCACTTCCTGTCTCCTTCCCACCCTTACGTCCAAGGTCAGAGGTCCCAATGAACAGTATATGGGACGGTAAGAGGAGAGCTGGTTGAATCACGAATATCAACGGTGGTTTGTTTGCTGTTTCCCTTCTCTCTTTGCATCAAAGTCCTTTATTAACCACATCTATTTGATATTCAAGAGAACACTATAAATTATCTTGTTTATGGCCCTTTTGAGCAAATGACTATAATGCTTTCACAATAGAGAACATATTGGTGCTTTTTTAAAGGACGGTTCAAGATTTGCTTTTAGTCCAAATGGTTTTACCCCCTTTTCGTTGATACAGGCCACCTTACAGCCATACTTATTATTTACTGAATCTTCAGTATGAAGAAAAAAATGTTTTCGGAGCTTCCGTTCTGCAAATAAGGGGGTCAACTAACCATTCACAGTAAAGTCTCTAGAAATGCACATTTCTGCAGTATGGTACGAAAAAAAAGCGGTGATACATTTTTATATAAAAGGTTCAACAAATTTCTTTCAATAAATTCATAGAATAATAGGATGGAGACGGTCATATCAAAGTGCTAAAGTCAAACCAGGAGGTGGTTAGCTTAGCTTAGCAAAAAGACTGGAAATCGGTGAATCAGCTAGCCTGGCCACATGGACCCATCTCTAGATAACACATTATATCCGTTTGTTTAAGCTAACAACCTGGAAGGGCAAAGGCGATAAATTATGCCTTTTGCTGGACTATTCTCTTGGTCGGGCGTGGTGACTTCCTGTAGTTTCTGCTGTACCATGAAAGCGAACATGATATTTCCCTAAAAACTAAATAACTGCAGCCTCTTGAGAAAGGAATAACTAATCATTTGTGAGAGAAAATTTAAGAAAACTAATCAATTCCAGCTTAGATGCAACATGTCAACGTGTGGCAGAAACAAGTAGCAGGATGTAAGCACGCACACACACACACACGAGAAATGCCATGGAAACAGCCTCACGTGCTGTGTGCATGTAGCAGCTTTAATTAAAGCAGCCAATCGTAAAGCTGAATGTGATGTTTGCATATTGACAAGCTGCCATAACGGGCTGCTGAGAAGTGGAAACCAGAGATAATACGACTATCACATGAAGCAGGCTGCAAGAAGAAATATAAACCCATCCTATAGTTTATGGCTTACTGCTTAAGGAAACATTGATGTTGTTAAGCTTTAGAAACAAAAAATGTATCACTTCTGCTCATTAATTGACCTTAAAGGTCTATTATTATCTAAACTGTTGATAATAAGGTTTTTGGTTGAAGTTAATGTTTTAAGTCTTCAGAAAGCTTTTATCTGGGACTTCTAATACGTTTCTTGCGGGACAAAAAATAACCTGTACACTCTAATCCATGAATACAATAAAGCATTATAACTAACAGCTTCCCTGAAATATATATTCAAATATGTTAATAGTTCAGTGTTTTTCACAATGGAAAGTTAAATTAGGTTCATTATGAGAAGCCTGTTCAGTATAATCCTCTTACTGCGTCTTCAATAATTAAACTATTCATACATTTTATTCTTAGAGCCTCTTTCTCATATACAGCACGGCCTGCGTCTGACACATTGTAATTAAACTTGGCTGGAAGTAGTTTAAATCACTGATGATCATTAGGTGTTTCTCTATTTAATTCATTTTAAAAGCTTTCAACCTTCTATTAAACCCAAATACGCACTGAAGAGCTGCTTAAAGCCGTCTAGCCATGTTGTGTGTTTGCAGGAATGGAGTGCTCCATACGTTGTAGAGGGGGGTGCTCTTCATGGGCTTGTACTGCTTCAGGGGGTTCATCTTGTACAGGTGGCGGTCAGTGATGAGCAAGGCCCGGTCCTCCGCCTTGTGGAAACGGTTGATCTGGGAAAACAACAAAGCTCGTCAACACTCGGCGAAGAGGCGGCTGGGTTCCTTTGTTTGTGCAGACGGACTTGTATCTTGTGACTGTGTGTGCGCGCGTGTGTGTGTGTGTGTGTGTGTGTGTGTGTGTGTGTGTGTGTGTGTGTGTGTGTGTGTGTGTGTGTGTGTGTGTGTAAGGAGTGGATGAATGCTCAGATACCTTGCGCACGTTACCGGAGAACAGAATCTTCATGAATTTGTCTTTCCGCTGCAGCTCGCCGGAAACCAGCGTGAAGGACGAGGCCGTGTCGGGGCTGTCTCGCTTCTGTTGGCCACAAACAACACAGAGAAGCTGTCAAAACGCTCCACTAACCGCTAAGAAAGACAAGGACGTGTCCCATCTGTGCTGCACCAAAACATTTGCCTCTGTTAACCGATTCAAGTGCGCTTTGGTTCCATTTTAAGCATATTCTACTCTATTATCAGAGTGGTACCCCACCAGGACCGCCAGCTTACCAGGTAGTTTCCTTCCCAGGCTCTCTGCAGTCCCAAGTCGGCTCTCTGGCCCTTCAGGGCCTCCAGGCTGGCTACCTTGGCCCTCACCTGCAGGGCCTCCTCTGGAGAGAGGCCTTTGATCAGCGTCCACGCCCACCACCTGGAGGCACACAGAGAGACCTGAGAGCGCCGCTCTCCATTCAGACGCCGGACCCCGGCAGTCGGGTGTGCGGGGGGTGCCGGCGCAGCGGGGCATGCGTTGGTACCCCAGCTGCGCTTATTGGCCCCTAACTCGCACATCCTGACAGCCAACAACATTCTCTGGGAAGGCTGCTTCTGGTACGCCGCCCGGCTTCCCATGGAGAGAAGCAGGCAAACCGACGTCGGGATGAAAGGCAGCGGCGGGTCGTTGGTGGAAGAAGAAAGATCAATGAACCCAGTGTGAGCCCGAGGAAGAAGGAAGCTTGTGTTCTGGTTGCTTCAGATGGGACTCATCTGGATGGGAAATGACCCTCGGGGGCTCAAGCGTTTGCTCCACATGTGCATCGGTTTGAAAGTTAACGGATATTTTAGGATTTTTAAGGTAGTTTGTACAACAAGTCAAGGAGTAAAAGCGGCTTCTTGTTTGTGCTTGAAAAGCTGCTGACGGCACTATTTAAAGAGGAAGCTACGTTACCTGTTGTAGATGCTCTTGAGGGCCTCCTCGAACTTGCGCAGGACCTTTGGGGGCGTTGGCCACTTCAGGTGCCTTCCGTAGTCCTTCATGGATCGGACGTTTTTGAAGCGACGGGTGACCTCGCGAACGTAAGACTTCACTTTGTAGCGCCGGTAGGCCCGCAGGATGATGAGGGCCGCTCTCATCCGCCGGTACCTCATCCGGGCGATGGTGCCCCTCCACACCTGCAGACACGTCGCGTCATCAGCACGCATGTAACTCTAATCAATGAGGTGTTAAAGTAGCAAAAAATGAAATAGGATTTTTGCATGAAAAACAATGTTTTTGCATGCGGTGCTTTTGTTTAAGCTGCCACATTACCCATGATGCCCGGCAATAGAATAGAACCTTGGGCAGCATCACTGCTACTACTAAGTTTGAGGACGAATGACCTCCACATAAAATGACCCGAGTTCCATTTTCAGCACCGGAGGAAGGAACGGAGGGACGTTTTTTACTGCCATATCTAGATTTTAATTATTTATTTGATGGAATAGCCATCACTAACCCGGCTATTTTAAGCTCTTATACACCGGTGGTAAAACACTGACTATAAAAAGCTACGACTTCTGCACTAAAATGAAAATAAATGTACAGAAACTATAAACCCTGTGGCATATTGATATAAAAATCAATGTGTATTTAAGATGCGGCATGTTTTTTTTTCTGATTAATTTTGGAGCGAAACAGTTATTCCATCACTGGTCATTAAATCATCAGAACATTGTTTATTTGCGCTCATAACGTTTGAATAATGAGGACTCAGACCTCCGAGCCTGCCTGTAACTAAACATTGGTTGAGTGGCTATCAGACCCTCTGAAACATGAATAATAGATATAAGTGGGACCCCAGGGAAGCATAACTCCTGATCCGCCCACACTGAAACCACCACCATATGCTCCCTTCTTCTGTGTGCCCTCTCTTTGCTACATACAACTTATTTACACACATATATTTGGCCACATTGTACCACGATAATCAGCAAAAAGAGATGATTTAGCGTCATAAACCAAAGGGAATGCTGCACTGGAGACTCCCTCCTAAATATCTTGGAGGTGCAAACCAAAGTAATGATGGAAATCATGAATATTTAATCTTTTGTGGTGTGGGGGAGGCCGGCGGCAAAGAAACAGCTTATTTTAAAAAATAATTAGCATATTAAAAAGTGTGGATGAGGCAGTGATACTGCAGAAGATTACTTCACGTACTTTAAGGCGATAACGTCGCATCCACGTCGGCGGCATATTTGTTGTTCACGTTGTTCTTTGGCATTATGTCATCACGTGAAATGTCACTTTTAAATCCTCCTCCACTGCAGACCGAAGGATCTAAAGAGTTTATCTCACTCTTCAGACGAGCATCAGAAAATAGCAGCAGCTACTCGTCTCTAATGGAGCCCAGGATCGATCGATTGAATGGCTTTGTACTCTTTTCTTTTGAATTCAGAGTAAAGACCTGGTGTGAAGGCCGGGGCGACCTTCGCATGGAGCGCGACTGTTTATCTAAACAACAACGAGCCACTAATCACGCCGTGTGTGTCGGGAGCTGGAGGCGAGAGGCGGGGACATGCATCAGAAAACGCCTCTCCAGCGCGCGTGACAGGTGGGAGTCGGCGAGGGGTCAGGACTACACACACACACACGGTGTCTGCTTCTCCACCGGCTGCCATAACGCTGGTGAGCTGATGAAGATGACACTGGAGGGGGGGGGTGGGGGGTGCGCGGATAAATCGAGCCAATAACAAGACCCCTGACGGACGGCCCCCACACTCTTAGGCCAATAAAGCCATCTGATGATCTCTTTTACGGACTCGTGCCCCCCCGGGACACGCTCATCAAAGGCAGATTGGGGATCTTTCCTGGCAACAAAGCAGGGCAGATTGCTGGGGTTTAACTTGAGAGGTGGGGGGGAAGCGGGGGCATGTCGAACGGAGAGAACAGGAGAGTTTCCTACAAATTAATGCCTTTAATCTAGAAGCATCGGCACTGGAGCGCCAATAAAAAAGCCTGCGGTGCTGGCAATAAAAAAAAAAACAACCAACCCGTCACCAGTACTGCGGCCTCCACATCCTCTGGGGACGTGAAGCTGCTTTTTCCCGGCGACATGCTCCATGCACACGGACGGCCGGAGGGGGGGAGGGGAACACAACGCGTGCTCTCGCCCGTCAGGGAAGCAGAACGTACTGTGAGTTAGTCGTCCAGCTTGGAAGAATATGAGCTACAAAGTCTCACAAATGATCAGAGAGGAAATAAAGAATCTAAATACACCGAACAAACTGAACTTTGGCTGTGAGCCACACATCCGTTGCTATGGAGAGGTTATGGTTTTTTATGCTTGCCAAATCGTTGTGTACAGCAGAATATTTGGGGGATTTCTCTAGAGATCAAGGGAGCGCAAAGCGCTGCACCTCAGTCTCTTGCAGCTTTAAGAGTGCCGGTAGTTATGGCCGGTAGACGATAACTTTGCAGGTTCAGAGGATTAGAGACCCCCCCCCCCCCCCAGCCAGTTATACTGCACAATTTATTGCATTGAGAAAACAAGTTATTTGCAACACAAACAACAACAAAAATGCACTTTATCTTTTAGGACCTTCCTCTGAGCCCCCAGCTGACTCCCTGAGACAGAAGTAGCCTCTCATCAACCAACTGCTGCACCGAATTAAGGCGGCTGCTTAGAATACACATGGGAGGGGGGGTCAGGGGGCTCTGCGCTCGTCATCGGTGCTCTGACAAGCGCCGACAGTTACTGCGATGTGGATGGCTGAGCTTGGATCTATTAAATATTCATCTTTACACAGAGGTACTAGGGGAGGGGCGGGGGGTCGTTTCATTTCTAACATCTGTTGGATGTTTACGTTGGATTCTTTTGCTTCCGGGAGCCGTTTCTCAGAGCAGCAATGGTTTGGATCGTTCTGTTGTGGCTGGATGATTCCGCATGGATCGACGAATAAAGCTGCCGCTGCACACGCACTCTGGCCTGATTGGAAAAACACCTCAGGCCGAAGGGGGGGGCGGGGGGGGGAGGTTGTTGCTTTTTGTTTACGCCAACATGACTGCGGCGCACCTAGAAATGAAGTCAATGCGCGTCCTCACAGGCCGCACAAGTTTAGACGTCTAAACTTTAACTTAACTGTAACTGCTCTGTGCTTTTTGCTTGGGGCTGCACGATCGAGCGTGCACGTGAAGCGCATGCTGGGCGCTCAGCGTCGACAGACGGCCGGATGGAACGCCCCCGCTACGACACCTTTGTGATGTTTGTTTGTTTTGTTTTTTTGGGCGGGTGATTCCTCCGAGGCTTCGCTCGGCTACCGAGGCCTGCTTACCCCGGCAGAAGGCAGGGCTCTCCTGGGGGAGAGATGGAAGGATCACTCGTGGGAAGAGCACAACACAAGGTCACACGAATCAATACCAGAGGGCGAACGATCGGTCTGCTGCAGGGGTTGACTAGGCTGGAAAAAGCCTTTCAAGTCGGAGAACTCGGAGATGCTCCTCGAGAGAGTCGGATCCGCAAACATGAATCTCACGAGACGGCTGGTGAGAAATGAAATCCAAAACCGGAATCAGGTGCAACAAATAAATAAACGTAAACGCTTCCGTGTTCCATCTGAATCTATTCAACTTTACAATAATTGTGTGGGCGAAAAAAATACCTTCACCTGAGAGGAAAAAGTATAGTATAGAACGTCCTATCAGCTCCCAAAATACCCGGGTGCGTATTTCCCATGTAGGTTTATCGTGGCGTCAGCAGGTCGGAAGCCACCACGAGGCGGTCAAGACTCTCACCTTCTGGAGGAAGAGGACAATCCTCTGGACCATTTCCACCCGCTGCTCCTCCAGGCTGAAGAGCGTGCGTGGCGTGCGGATGAAGACCTTGGTCTTGCCGAAGGCCGCATCGTGGTCAAAGCCACACCCCTGCAGGAGCTTCTTCACCGCCTCGGCGTCGGATGGGAGGTCGTGGTTCGGCCACGTGAACTGTGAGATCATCTTGTATCTGGAGGAGGGTGGAGTGATGTTTATTCAAAACCTAAATGGCTGCAGGAGCAGCTGAACCAGGATCTAGATTATTGTACATGAAAACAGGTCATTAAACATCTCAGATGCTGAGCACCAGGAAGCATCCACCTCACAAAGGTGATAGCACGTCTGTAGACTCATAACAATTTCTGTTCAATCATTTGTTACTGTTTTATGAAGTTAACAAAGAAATATCATTGATGAGAAAAATACCATTAGACTTATCTCTCAAATTGTTTTTTATAAAATAATGCATTTGTGTTTAAGGTTAAATTAAATTATATCTGATTTTGTACATGAACCAGGTGAGTAAGTGCTATAATATTCATGAAATACAAGCACTTACATTCTTAAACTGGTGATGTATGTCGCCTTTAAAATAACTCGCTGTAGCCTCCTGATTAGTTGAAAGAATCATTCATCAGAATGAATTATTTTATAAAACAACTTACGTATTCATTGCATGCAATAAAGGTAGTCCACCTTCCCTCTTTTCTGTCTATGAAAATACAGTTTTATTTTATGCTATTAATGATTCAAGAGTCAAGCTTATCATGCTTTTGTAACCCCTTAATTGTAGATGTGCCATTGCCGGTATGCTTGAAAGCAAATTAGTGCCGATTGTTATGTAAACAGATGTAATATCGGGTACTTGAGCTCTTTTATGAATAAAACATGAGTTATTAATGCAGGTCATCGACTAGCAGTTCAACACAGGGTCATTTCTGCAGCGCATTAAAATGTTTTACAAAGTCTCTTCCCATTCATTATAATCCAGCCCGCTTTAAATCATGTTTAGGGGACACGTTTAATACGCTTGTAGGGAAATGGGCTGATGAGGGTTATTTTGTCATGGCAGCTGGAAAGGTAACTGATTAGCTGCACGATTAGACGCGAGCTGACTGAGGTTATACGACTCGGATTTACACCCAGCGGTGTAGAATCCTTCACGGCTGCTCGTTGAACAGCTTTAGAGGTTCAGCCTGTTGATCAGATTGTAAAGCTGGTCGCATTAGAGACATATTTAAACTTCTATTCATGACCCCAGCATGATTAAAGGACACATTTATTTATCAAATGTGTCTAAAATTTGGGTAGTCACCGCCCTAAAGTGGAGGTTTGTGTCACATACGTAAAAAATAAACAGCAGATTAGTCGATGAAGATGAAGCCTGAGGGGGAGGGAGAAGTCGATTGCTAGTGTGTTTATTCAAAAAGGTACCTCTGCAGGAAGCGAGGGTAGGTCTGCCTGTAGGCGAAGCCGGCGCGTCGCACCCTGACGTTCTCCAGCAGCCCGAGGTACTCCACCTGGTGGCGGCAGCGCTCCTGCTCGAACAGCAGCGGGGACTTGACGTCGTTGGGCTTGATGCAGCGGACGTAGTAGGGTTCCTGCGGAAGGAGGCGGCGCGTCAGTAACGGGGCGTTTTCGACGCGCGAGACGGGGGCAGCGCTCGGGGGCTCACCTTGCAGGCCAGGTTCTCCACCAGCGAGATCATGGAGTTCTTGAAGAGCGTCGCGGCCGTGAGCGGCCGTTTGGTGACCTCGGTGATGCTCAGCTTGCCCTCGGGCCACATGCCCTTCAGCACCGGGTTGGAACTGGAGACATCACGAGTGATAATCAAAGCGTTGTAACGAGTGAAAGGTCAGATCAATCATTTTGTTGTTAAAGCTGAAAGAAATGGCTTTGTGATCTGATTTCTTTACAGTTCTACAGTATATTTATATAAATATAAAAGTTATTATCTGTTCAATAGTGTCATTGAGACATTTGATTGATTACATTGTGTTTTTGAGTAAAGGTTGTCATCAAATGCACATTAGACAGGCCAAGAATTACTGGACCTCGCATTCATTTTCACAGAGGGAACACCAGAGGAGGACGATAAAAAACAGACAACAGAGGAGATCAGTTGTACCGGTCCAGTGCTGTGCTTTCTGGGGGGGTGTCAAGTAGTGCTGCATGGAACACAGTGTGTGAAGGAGTAGTGTGTGTGTGTGTGTGTGTGTCACCTGTTGTACAGCAGCCTCTTGAAATCCTGGAACAGAGTGTCTTTGTTCTTATCAATGAACCCCACCACGGAGTACCTGAGGAGAGGAGACAAGGAGACAAGGAGGCCTAAACATCGGCACAGCCAATCGTGACTTTGGCACCGCGGCTCCAACGAGGTGCCGTAGACGCTGCACGCTTGTGTCGGGAGTCTGAGAGCAGTCTTACAACTTTAACCTTTTCCCAGTGTATTTTTTTTTTTACTTCATTAAAGGTTAATTGGAAACTCGTTCACCCTCTAGTCTCACATCTAGTTGCAAAAACATCCCTGATGGCGACGGCCAGAATGCCGAACTGAAGGTTTTAAAACCGAAGGGTGGCGTGACGGTGACTTGGATCCACATTAATCCCTTCTGACCTTTGCTTTCAACAGCAGCTGATCTTTTACTTTTTTGCGCATTGAGCTGCTGCCACATGATTGCCTGGATGGATAACAGCAGGTGCACCTCACAAAGCGCCTAAATAGCCGTTTAATGTAAATGTATGTCCACGCACACCTTAAGTTAATGAATGCTTTTAGGCAATATAAGCGGCTATAAATGGAGCCGTGCTGGGAGACGGGAGGTGCTCGCTGCCTTCTGGTATAAGTGGTTCAGGGATCAATCAAGGGAGACCCCCCCCTCCTCACCACCCCTACACCCCCCGTGCGGCAGACACTTAGCCCTCAGAAATGGGCTCAACACGTTTCACTGAGAGCACTTTTTGTGGGCTTAATGTGTGCGACTTATTCATTTGAATGGCGCTGAAGTACTTCTGGGAGCGGGAAGCGGCGCTGTCTGTTTGGGAAGAGGGGCGGGCAGGCGGGGCGGGGGGGGGGCAATAAAGATGTTGTTTAAATGTTCGAGTGTGCACGCAAGTATCCGTAACTGCCTATTTACAACGAGGGTTCTTCTGGATGTAAATCAATGCGATGTGAAATCTCGGCACACTGAATAAATTAGCGCACAGGCCGAGAAATCTTTGTTGAGATGAATCCACATTTGGGTTTTTTGGTGTTTTGCGGCCTTCTTTTCTTTTTTAACATAAAATGTTCAAAGGACACATAAAAGTGTTAAATGTTGCAGAGCAGTTGACCAAAATGTTTTGTCTCTGCATAAACGTTAAGTGACCAATTTGTGATATTTCTAAATTCACCATCACCAAATGCATTTGTTCTATTTTACATTAACTGATCCAAGGCATTATCTAAAGAAATACAGTATGCAATATATTTATGCAGACATTAATTACAGCAAGTTTAATTTAAGATTCCATCTGGAAAAGTGCACGACTTTGGTTTCAGTGAATATGTGAAAACATAGAAATGTGGGAAAGGAGCACGAATCACAGGTAAAAGCTTCTCTTGAATAAACTGAAGCCGTAGACACTTACATCACATCGCCCGCGTAGTGTCGGATGCGAAAGTCTCTGTTGAACTCCAAACTCTTGTCTGCGGGTGAGAGCTGCAGAGACGGGACGACAGCAACAGTAAAGAATCATCTCACACAGTATTACTACTGTATACTGAAAGGAACAACGTGTCCTTCCTCAATTCAGATTTGTGTGATACGAGTCCCAGTATGAAGTTCTACGCATTACTATGGAAATGTTTGTCAAATAAAAAGTAAATGGTAGATTCCAACCAGAAAAAAGGACAGCGACTCCCCAAATACTATGGAATACTAGATTTACAAGCAAGTGTTTTCTTAAGTCAGACATGTGGCTCTTCCACTTTATACATTTCAAATACAATCAAAAGGCCCTTTTGTTATTACTCTATCAACGTTAACCCGAAACACTAAGGACGGTCTGCAAAACTGCAGCGCAGATGTAGTGATGCGGAAAACACCCACCGATGTCAAGACGGATAAAGCATCACAGAAAAGAAGAGGGGGGGTGTCGGGGGGAGAGCGAGAGCGAACAAGGACCGAAGAAGAAGAGGAGAGACGGACGCGGCGTGGTGGAAAAATAAAAGCGAGTGTGAAAGCGTGATGCTGAAGCCTGTAAGTAGGCCAGAGAGCAGCGGCGCAGGGAGGGCGGAGGCATCAATGGAAACGCACAGCAGCTCATCGCGGGGAGGGGGGGGGGGGGACTTTATTTGTTTCCCTATGTTTCACTATATTTTAACTGTGTTTTGCTGGCTCTGTCGCACTCAGTTGATGAAGAGTGCGTTGTTAATAAAATGCATTATTGTTATTATTACATTTTGTACAGGGGAAGGCTGTGTGTGTGATAGATGACTGGAGGAGAGTGAGAGTGAAACACACACAAGTCCTCTACCTGGAGGCTATTTCTGTGAGGCATCCCTTGAGGGCTTGATGAAAATATGGAATGACTCATCGGACACACACACACATCAAAGAGAAAGTCTGCAGTGAAATCACAAAGCCATTTAAACTGCAGAGATCTCCTGACGCATAGATGTGCTTCAGTAACTGTTGTAATGGTCTCTGAAGCTCCTCTCCATTGCCAACAGTAAAGTGCTCAGCCAACAGAGGGGTGTGCAGTGTTTCCCCAGGTTAACGGCTTTGGGGGGGGGTGCAGGGTGCGGCCAGACGGACCAACGGGGGTGTTTGGGGGGGTGCAGACATATGGCCCATAATAGCTGCTTTTACTAAGCAAAAGGTGATGGATGCATTACTTCTCACAGGTCAGGGCTATGAAGCAATACACTGATTACAATTTAAAAATATGAAATAGTCTATACAGTACTCACTGAGGAAAACTAAAATCATTTCACATCATAATCTCCTTTAAATTACACAACACACAATTTCCGGAGATAAATCCCCAATAAAAGATGAAACAAATAAACAAATACACACTAACAAACACACACAGTGAGAAACAGATGCACAATGAGACTGACAGCCTGCATCTGCTGGAAGCCACACAACCCCTCATCCATCTCAATGAACCACACACACACACACAAACCAACATGTGCTACATGCACACATTTCTTGGCAGCTTTATTATCAGCACCTCTTCTGTGTTTGGGACTCAGCCTGGTGGCAAGACCAAGGGTGTGATGGAGAAGGCTGCGCGTGTGTGTGTGTGTGTGTGTGTTTAAAGAGGCCACACAATAGAAACAGAACAAGGTCAGAATGAGGATGTGCCACACACACTTATTATTATTCAGAAAAAAAATATTCATTACTTAGAGGACAGCAGATTGTTTTATAACCTTCAACAAGGACATACTGGTAGATAAACATTTTAAACAATAAGTCATTTAACATTTAACAAAAAACAATGATAATTCAGTGAAACCGAGCGACTCCATGAATGTAAAGCAGGGACGGAGAAAAGAGCCGAATCAGCAGGACGATCAATCCCTACAAAACAAAATACAACTAGCACGGTTATTATTTTTTAGATTAACAGTCTGTCAAATCATACATTTCCTAAAAGGGGATTGTTATCAGCTGAACAGCTGAGCTACACACACTTCAACCAGGGAATATATTTTCCAACGCAAAATAATAATAATCCAGTCTTTGGCTCCTTAGCGTGCACATCCCGCTCCTCTCTCATGTGAAGATGGATTAACTGTAGAGCAGATTATTGCTGACAGCCAGAGAAACAAATCAACCGATTAATTAGGGAGATAAAACTAAAAGGGGGAGGAAGCAATACAGAAAGAGAGGAGCAGACACGTGTAGAGAAAAGGAATTCAAATCAAGAGAGAAGCAGAGCCATTTTCTCATAGACTTCAATGGACCAGAGGAGTCGCCCCCTGGTGCTCAGTGGACAGAATGCAGGTTTTAAGAAGCAAAGCATCGGCTTCAGGTTGCCACCTGCTCTCGACACACACTCAGCAGGAGTCACGAAGCCGCCGTCGAACGGCCTGCAGCTGCATTTACTCCACTTCCCCCTTTTGTCCACGCTGCTGACCTTGTGCCTCAATGCTGCTAACTGAGTGTTTAGTGTCACCAGCGCGCGCGCGCGCGCACACACACACACACACACACACACACACACACACACACACACACACACACACACACACACACACACACACACACACACACACACACACACACACACACACACACACACACACTCCAGGTAGATGTAAATGTGAGGAAGGAGGGACTGGGAAGGAGGAATAACTAAGCGGGAGTGAAGCCTCCAAAAATATATATATTACACGTCAGCATATGATTAGAAAATTAAATCTAAAAAAAACACATCTGTGCTAAGAGGAGACTGCAGATGTCCAGATGAAGTGAGAGATCCTACAGCGAGGGCACAAGGTGCGTCAGAGTAAAGGAAAAAGGCTGACGTTATAGAAAATAACATTTAAATCCCCCAAATTGAGTTCTTCCTTCTTTTTAAACAAAATCAGATTTCTTCAATGAGTTCAATTACTTGGCTGTCTGAGGCTGAAGTGTTATACCGCTAACCTACTGGAGACTGTACATAAATATACACTAGGTCATTTATTTAAATACTGTGATGTACTTCCTGTAGGTCGGCTAAAGTTGCTCTTTACAGACTACACCTTCATCGCAGCACTAACTTGTTTAGAATTCAGCGGCTCCAGCTTTCTTTTTACAACACCGATGATACAACTCTTGTTTTAATCTGTTTTCTTCGCCTGATTTGTAATGAACACCGTTTCATTTGATGGTTTTGACCCCATTTTGAAGGTGGAATCCACAAAGACCAAATGCTGTGTTCATCTAGTAGTTTGCTTCAGCTGTGCACCGACACACATAGTGGGAGCAGACGAGTGCGTGTAAAAATGTAATAAAACCCTGTCTGACTCAAGTAAACAAGGATGCAGTTTACTTGCGCCCCCCCCCTCCTCAGAGTAAAACATTTATAGAAACTGGTTCCATATCAGTGTGATAAAAGGGAAGAGACAAACAAACAACCTGATAGAAAACAACTAAAGAAACTAGTTGTAAAAAAGTCACACTGGATCATCATCCAGCATCCTGGGCATTGTGTAACATTTAAGTCGTCCATTTAGACATCTCAAAACAAACAAGCCCGCGGCTCCTGTTGCCCGAGAAGTGCCTCAATAATTCATAGCAAGGCCGAGAAGCCCGAAGGCCCGTAAAAAAGTAATCCTGCCTCACCAGCCTGCTGTAAAGCAACACGACATATTGAAACGCTATATATATACACACACATACACACACAAAAAGTTGAGTATGTTGATGTTGCCTGGCAACAGGACTCATGACAGGAGAGGATAAAGCTGGCTAATATTGATCCATTTGTTGTCTCTTTTAAACATTGTTTCTTTGCAGCTTAGTGGAACATGAAGTTTCATGTTTCCAGGCAGACAACGATAGGCTCTCTGATCACTGATTCATGCTTAGTGTGCGTTCTGTGTGGGTGATGTGATGTTAATCTGTTGTGATTTATTAAGAACGAAAGAAAGAACTCTGCAAAATAAGCATAAAAATGAACTGAGTTATGACCAAAAAACAAGAGGCGCAGTGAATATGTTCAGGAGCAGAATATTGTGATCACAAGAATGATTTGGACAGACAGACGGACAGAGAGAGAGCGAGACAGGCAGACACAAAGCGAGTGAGACAGGCAGAGAGAACACGATCCATCTCTTCCAGCCTCATTACTTTGAGTGATCATATCTACAGATCTACAGACCACTGGCCTGAAATGTATCACCCAGTTTCTCCTCATTAATTAGATTCATCGTCCTCCTGCACCGCAGTATAAACACCAGCTCCGTACCATTGGCTGCCAGTGACATCACTTGTGCAAAGTGTCGAGTCAGACCGTCTCTCTTTCTCTCTCTGACAGCTGATGCCCTCTTGTGTCCGAGTGGAGACTTGCGCCGCCCTTTCTTTTAAACTATACTGTTACTGTTATAGCTGTTAGGAACACACTAATTACATATTGATGTGTGTATCTACTGAGGAACTGGAAGACACTGAGCGCGGATCAGAGAAGACTTTCTCCTTATCCGGTTCACGTGATCAAACCACTTCCCGCGAATTAGACTGGAAGCCTTCCTGATTATCAGAGCCAACAGGATCATGTTCGTCGCTGATGGTTACTTACTGCTCGGTGTAATCTGCCCCCTGCTGTTCTCAGGTTACTGCCGCTGCACCCAATGTGCATAGGCCGGTTTATAGCTCATTTTATTGTTCGGTTCGTCTTTAAAATCCCAAACGCAGCATTTGAGCCTTCGACCCGAGCCGCCAGGACAGGAAGTCGGCGCCTCCTACCTTGCGGCTGGTGTAGTGGGCGTGTTTGGCCAGCTTCACGTTGAGCCCTTGGAGGAAAACCTCGTCCGTGACCTTTCCCACGTTCATGCAGGCTTCGTCCAGCACGGAGAAGATGCCCTTGTGCTGCTGCTCCACCAGATCCACGATGATCTGGTTGTTGAAGTAGTCGATCTGACGACAGAAGAAGGGGAAAAGCAACTTTCATAATCCAAGTGGGAAATCGATGATCTGAATGAATAAAACAGAAGGCTAATATACTACAGTTAAATAAAATGATTCATTTATTAAATGGTGAGCTATTCCTTTTTACTGTACTTTTGAATAATCTCCTTCCAAATGACAACAACTGAACCGTGAAAAGGCCCCTCACATGTTTCCAGGGGATCCCCTCCCGTTGGTACTCCTCCTGCTCCTGCTTCAGCACCAGCTGGATGAAGAGCTGCTGCAGCTTCTCGTTACAGTAGTTGATGCAGAACTGTTCAAAGCTGCAGAGACACAGAGGGGACGGAATGCATGAAGGTGCAGCTACGCGATTGACTTGTTGTGTACGTCCTCATCGCCGTGGGTTACCACCAACGGGAAGTCATTTGTTAAGAGGGAAAAAAATCTTCCAAACTTTAAAAATTGAAGAAAAAATAAGTCAAGATAAGAAGAATGCAGAGACGTTTGCACGATGGAAACTTCTACAAAAGAACCTTGATATTTTGCTTTTTGATTCTTCTAAAGTCCTAAAATCTAATTTAAATCAAGCGTGGGTGGATTTTTGTGACACATCTCCAAAAATACCAGTTTCAATGTGTGGCTTTAAAGGAAAGCTTCTGACCACTTCAGATTTTATTCATGTAAACCGACCGAAGCATTATGATCCTTTTTGTTTAGCTTCAACTCGGGAAATAAATTTTTTTATCTTATCTGCTTGAACAAAAAAATGAATCCTGACCTGTTGTTCTGGAAAATCTCAAAACCGTAGATGTCCAGCACCCCGATGACGGTGTTCTTCCCGTGGACTCTGGCGTCGTAGTTTTTCACCTCGATGACGTCGTTGATTCGTCCCACGATCCAGCAGAAGAGCCGCTCGTACATGGCCTGCAGGCGCAGACAGCAGGTGGTTAACGCGTGGCGGACGCACGTGACGCCTTGCTCGAGGGGCCCGGGGCGGTCGAGCAGAGACGGGAGATGTCACAACATTAGTGAGTCAGACTTGAGCCCAGAGCTTTAGATAAACACAGCCTCCGGTGTCCTGAGCCACGCTTCTGTGAATCAGCGTGAACATCAGCAAAAAAACAACAACACGTGAGGTAAAGTGTCACTGCTGCGGCAACGGCAGCCCAATGTGTACGTTGCTTTTTGGTTCGGCGCGGCCCACTACGGGAGATCATTCCGCATCCTCCCAGCACCCACCTTGGCGAGGGCGTCCCGCCCGTAGCCGGCCTCCTGCGCCGTGTGCTGCTTCTCGATGACGTCCCGGCCCGTGGACACGGTGCGGTAGAGCAGCGCCTTCTCCACCTTCTCCTCTTTGGTCGAGAGCAGCTCCCGGATCACCGACACCAGCTTGGTGTTCTCTATCAGGGTCACGTCGCCGTCCACCCCGAACGCCAGGTTGCCCTGGGCGGGTAAAAAAAACAAACTAAAAGTTAAATTTGACTTTCTCTAGCAACTTTTAAGAGTGGAAAAATTGTTTGACGGTTTTCCAACAGGCCTCAAGATCCTGATTTTCATTGAACAGTGCGACCATTTTGAGAGATGCTTTTTCGCTGAGGACACTGCTTATAGATGCAACAGAATTAACTACCGTATTTTCCGCACTATAAAGCGCACCGGAATATAAGGCGCACCTTCAATGAATTACCTATTTTAGGACGTTTTTCATATTTGGGCGCATTGGATTATAAGGTGCATAAGATACTGCAGTCAAACGTTTGATGTCGGGGCGGGTGGATGGGGGGAAGGTGGAGACGGTGCTTTCAGGGCCCAATCGATGCTGCGAGGTGCGTCCGCTCCCGCCGCCCTCCTCGCCATCCACACCTTAAATCTTTGGCTGCTCTCCAGCCACTCTGCCTGCCAAGGGCTGCTTTTAGAATAACTTATTTTCCCCGTTAAGATGGTTCAGCTACTGTAGAGAAAAGGGCGCCGTCTCTCGCTCTTTAATCTCATGAAGTGCTCGGCGAGAACGACAGCTTTGTTTCTCCGACGCGCCCTGAAAGCAGCTCCATATCTCACGCGCTTGAGCGCCGCTCAGCATCTCGCCGTCGTAGACCGAGCTCTGGCATGTTTGGCAGAGCGCCTTGAGCGCCGTGTACAACCAGTATCGATCACCCGATTAACCAATTGATCCATATATATAAGGCGCTCCGGATTATAAGGCGCACTGTTTTTTGAGAAAAGGCTTTTAAGTGCGCCTTGGAGTGCGGAAAATACGGTAGACTGAAATAACCAAAGTTAAAACATTGTCTCTATTCTCCCTCTGAAAAATTAAATAAATCTTTGCCTTAAAACTTCCTCCTGTAATAATAAACCCAGGCGGATTCATCACCAAGATTAATGGTGAGCTTTTTTTGTTGCATCGGACTCCTTAATAAATGTGTACTCTCAGTATCTTGGCGAGGAAGGCGCTGCACTCGGCCAAGACGTTGCTCAGTTGTCTAAAATATATAAACAGTAGCTCCTGTATTGCGACAGCTGCAGTGAGGAATGATCTCCTGGTATTATGGGCTATTACCAGATGTAGGATGGTGGCCAGGATCTTGTAAACAGTCTGGATCTCGTCCCCCGTGAAGCCGATCACCTTCATGGCGTCGGCCACGGCTTTGAAATCGGCGGCATCGTTGATGGAAGACTGGAGAGAGGAAGGAGAGACCGCGTCATCATCATAATCATCACAAAGTGCCGCAAAAAAAACAACAAAAACACACAAGAGCCTTCTTCATTCTTCTCTTCCCATTGATCTAACCGGGGTAACAGATCCTCACAGTTCATTAAGTCACTAACTTATGGAACCCTGCGGGTCACAAACCGCCGCCTCAGCGGTTCGGTCCCCTTGTGTTCTGTGACATCAGACTGTTTATGGCTGTCAAGTGTTTGTTTTTTTTGTTCCTTCTCATTAAGCTTGTGCAGAGACGGTATAAACCCAAAACAATGCCCCCGGAAATACCTACTTTACGCTTGTGATTTATGTGGTTTGCTTCAGAGACGTGTAAACACACATCTGTAAGTTGGGTTCTGGATTGTATCATTTTTCTGCAAAGATATTTCCCAGGTTCTTTCTCGGCTCCCCCCCATTTGTTTGTGTGCCAGTTGACCGTAAGAAGCACCTTAATTTGGCCTCCGACTTTGATGTAGTTGTAAGCAGTCGGGTCCTTCTGGATGTGAAGAGAGCGTATCAGGGAGTCTGTAGCTCCTCTGAGCAGCTGGTGGAGAAACAGAAACACACAATTATTGTGCTTTGGCACCATAACACGATATCTACCGCCATTCATGACTCGATCGCTCTCACATAAAGAATCACTGTTCGTCATGTTTGAATTGACTGCGTCTACGTTCCTCACAAACTGTGACCTCACTTTGGCTCACTACGCTCCTGCATGGAGGAACAAGAAGTCCGTTGATGACTCAGAAATTCTGCCCGGATTCTGACTTCCTTCTGCGGCAGTTCAGTCTTTCACACGCGCAGACTAACATAAGCGAGCGCGAGCGCACACGCACTGTGTAGACACACACATACCTGGTAGAATGAATGAAAGCTCCGCTCTCCTTCCTGTTGGAAAATCACTCTGGGACTGTTGGAGAAAAATCAAGGACAGCGTACATAGAGTCATTTTAGAGCAACAACAACACAGTGAGAGAAAGTTCTGAAAGCAAAAGCTCTGCTATCACCACAGAGGTTAACGACGTTTCTGTTAAATGGGGACAACAGCTTTTTAAATTGTTCCAGTGATGCAGGAGGAAGCTCCTCACCATTTAGCTCCTATAGCTCAGACAGTTTAAACCCTCCTGAGAAGATTCAAACTGTTTCACAAACCACAGCAGCTGAAACAGTCCCTGCACTTGCATTGCAAACTTTATTGAGCCACCCCACTGCCTCCATCAGCGCGTAGCTTCACCCCAGCGGCTGCGTTACCTTCTCCAGCAGGTAGTTGCTGATGTGGCCCCCGATGGGGTCCCCCTTGAAGTCAAAGTTGATGTCCATGTACTTGCCGAAGCGGCTGGAGTTGTCGTTGCGGTTGGTCTTGGCGTTCCCAAAGGCCTCCAGGACACAGTTGGATTTAAGCAGCATGTTTTTCACCCTGGGGGAGAGGCGGGAGAGAGGCGGGGGAGAGGCGGGGGAGAGGCGGGGGGGGGGCAGGGAGGGAGTTTAGCCGGGTGATAGAAGGCGCGATAAGTGGTGAATAGGTAACTGGTTGCTAACTTTATACCTCGATGAAGAGTCAAAGTTGTGTTTACAGCTCGTCGTCCCGCCCACAAGTGGCCACAAAGACTAAACAATAATTAGCAACAACATAACACGCACCTTTAACACTGGCCTTTAATACACAAGCACTATGAAGGTCAATGATTCATGCAGGATTAACTATTCACAAACCTGTTGAACGGTGTTCAGGAAAAGTACTTTCAACCAAAAGTCACAACAACAGATACATATTTTATCACACCAAATATTCATTAATCTTCAGAATATTTCCCTTTTTAATGCTGAAATATGAACGTTTGTATTATGGCACCATCCAGTAGGTTAGAACAAATAAGGCCACACATATTCCTGTCATACTGACCTACATTTGATAAATTCAGATTCTCCACTGATGATTATTAAGGGAGTTGTGCATTTTCTAAACAGTCAATTCTGTATAGTTTTATATATTTATATAGTTTGTATTTAGAACTGACCTGACCCGGCAACACGCCCCCTCCGCCATCAGTGGTCTAAAGTCCCGCTGAGCCGAGAAAACATCTCAATACCAGCAAAGAGACTTTGAATACCGCCGCTATTAATCCCTGAAATGGCACGGACAAACGCCGTGATAAGATGATAAAAGCTGACCTAGAAAGGAACGAGCACCACGCATCTCTGTTGAAGGCACTGCTGTGTTGTTGCGATGACATTTCTAGTTGGTGCAGCGGGGCGGGGGGATTCAATAATAACCAGAAGAACTCCTGCCCGTCTAATAACATTCTGCAGTTTAGTCACCTAACCGAAGCGTGCAGAGCAGCTCACCTTTCCACCTCGGCCCTCTGATTGGGATTGGTGATAGCAGCGATGTATTGCATTATGTACTTGCTGGCTTCGGTCTTTCCAGCTCCACTTTCTCCTGCAATATGAAAAACAGGAGATTTGAATAACCAAACATTTTGGTTTAAGAGAAAGATAAAAAATAAAAACAAAAGTTGAGTTTTATCATCACAGAGGAGCCTCTAAACCTCACAACCCATCTGCAGATAAAAAAGCTAAAAAGTATGTAAATGTAAGTAAACAACATTTTCTATTTAAGACTGGGCTCGAACAAACCACGTGGACACTTATCTGATCCAATTCAATTGTTGGAGCAATATTTTCGGTTTATTATTATTTATTTTGTTGGTAGGAATTATGTGCATTACATTCATATTTGAAATAACTTTCTTTATGTTTTATTAGATTGACCTGACGAGGATCAGCGGATAAGAGGGGGTGGGGCCGGGTCACGGGGCTTCCTGTGGTATTGGACAGGACATCGGCACAGTCTTTTGAACTCACGTTGTCCACTCTGCTACTCACATAAAACTCAATTGTATTTGTGGACGATAGAAACAAATCATTTTAAATAAACAACGTGAGAGAACGCGAGTCTGGAGGGTTTCATATTGGAAGGAACTTGTAAGTCAGGAAGCGGAGTCCCGGGCACAGAAACCAGGAAATGCGAAGGCAGACCACCAGACTTCACGTCTCATTTAGCATTTTAAAGTAACCAGGTCCAGTACAAACATCGGGATCTGAGCTCCATGATGACTCGACTGAGACCAACGGTCGCGTCACAAAAACTCAAACTTCGACTGAAACACACAGAAATACTTGTTGTATTGCATGTTGCATTTTGGATGGAAATATTCCCTTTGCAATTGTTGCAAAATAAATAATCAAATAATCAAACTTATGTTTTTCTCTTTTTCAGAGTTGAATGTAGCGGTGTTATTGCACACAAAAAACATTCTTTATTTATGGCATAGAAACTGTAGTTTGGGGTTGGGAGGGTTAAAACCTATAGCCAAAGAGTCATGAGGGGTCCTGAGGAGGAGATCCGTTCGCCCTATGACCACCAGGTGGCGCTTCGTCCTCCACCACACAGCTTGTGACCACATACAATATTAGGTATAGGAAAAACGAGGTGGATTGCTTCCATTACTTAAGCAGGTGATGAACCAGATAAGAATTCTGTATTCCTAAACATCTCCCAGGAGAGGAAACACCTGAGCGTAGCAGGAAATACAGCGTTATTACAGCAGGACTATTTGTATTGTAAGGAAAAGGGGCATAAAAAAGTCGAAGAGAAAGGGATCACAAACTATTGTGCCTTTGGATCGAGGGAGTAAGACGCCTCTCTGGGGGCCCTGCCCGCGTTACCTGAGATGACGATGCATGTGTCTTTGTTCCTCCTCTTCATGGCTTTGTAAGCGGCGTCGGCGATGGCGAAGAGGTGGGGTGGCCTCTCGTACAGCTCGCGTCCCCTGTACTGCTCCACCACCTCGCGCCCGTAGACGTTCATGGCGCGGTACGGGTTGACGGACACGACCACCTCACCGATGTACGTGTAGATCCGCCCCTTCTCGAACCTGAGGACACGCCAGGGGGGACGTTTAGTATCAGATGTTCTTCTATTTGTCACAGTGACTCCAGAGAAGCGGTTGTCTCTGTAACTGTTACTGGGTTCAAGCAGATTAAAAAAAACTAAGTAAAAATAAAACAACCCCTAGTCATTCTATTCAATGACTTTAATACATTAGGGAGAAGACATAGCAGCATTACGCATCAATAAAGTCATAGCTTATGAGTATTCATTTGTATTCTCTATATTATGAATGTTAATGTTATACAGGTAAAGGCTTCAGGCTCAGTAGATATGTTATCGCTCTGTTACGTGTGTGCATCAAACTAAATTGCCGTAATTAACATTGCAGCATTTATTCATCAGTGATCTTGTTATCGCCTTTGTGACACCTGATCAGTCATCATAAAGGTCTCCCATATGCATCATTTAGAAGATCCATTATTACATCACTGTCCACGCGCTGTTGTGTCAATACATCAGAGGTCTTTGTGTCATGAGTCTGTTTGTCTCTGTGCCGTTTCAACATACAGCTCCATGCAGAGCTCTGACCTCTGACCTCAACCATCCAGCCCTGTCAGGGTGACCGGACCGGGAGCTAGACCTGATTTCCCCCCCGGGAACTAATCCCTGCAGCTGGTTCAAACATCTGGGGAATGAAACTAGCAGAGTGGAGGATTATTACTGCTCATAGTTTGTGGAATCAATCACAAGGTTTATGTCTAAAATCCATCCGTAAAGTAGCGCAGTGGGCAATATATATGAATATGATATGCTCGTGGAATATTATCAATATCCATAATCTATCAACAACAATGCAGGCTACGTTTGAGTGTGAGTCCCGCGGGTTGATGTCTTCGTTTCCCTTTAAACACTCGTTAGCTCGCGGCTCTCGCTAACGACACAAGCTGCTGTGCTTCAACAATGTTGGACAAAAACAAAGTGTGGTTGCTAACTGTGTCTGGAGATGCAGGACAGCAGACACCAGACCAGAGCATCGCGGTTCCGTTTCTGTTATGTACTGATGTTTCAAGAAATGCGGCTTTTCATACGCCTGGTTTTTGCAAGCATTTTCTAAAAAAAAAAGGCGATGCAGAGAGAAACACTGTGCGGCGAATTGTGAGGTCAGCACCTCTAGTAAGGTAATGCATTTACCCGCTTACTCATCACATCCACCTTACTGCAGACGGAATGTCAAAAGACCGTCTACAAGATTTTGTAAAAGCACCAACCAACAATCTTGCAACATCAAAATTGAGGTATTTCATCAAAACCATCATATTTGATTTTCTACGTACAGCAAAGTACGTTTCTGGAATCCCTTTGCTTCCCCCCCCTCGTCCCCCCCGGTCTCCCTCAGGCTGCCTCCCTGACTTCCTTCCTCTCCAAAGAGGACCAGGACTCCGGCGTCTCTCCACAGAAGAATGGCCTCTTTCTTCCCAGCTGCCAAACCTCGCTGCTGCCTCTCAAACCGAGGCCTCCTAATAGGCCCACGTGAAGCCTTCGCGACGGCGGGTTTGAAGCGACTGCCAGATAAAATAAATCCATTGCCCGTATTTGCTTAAAGACTCGCCGCATATTGAGACGTTGCCCGTTCGGCGGTAGAGCCACGAGGACGCCATTCGTCAACCCAAAGGGAAACATCGCGGACGGCCGTGATCCTCCTCGGGTTTATTGGCTGTAGAGGCCATTTGTCCAATAAATTGAAAAAACGCACATGAATCAAAAGGTTTGTGGTTTACGCCGGCAAAAGACTTCTCCTTTCTGAGGGTTTATTTGGCCAAGCTAGACAAGCAAAAAGTGCTACGAAAAGACAATCTTACCAAACAGATATAAAAACATAGAGGCATTATAAATGAAACCTTCTGTCCCTTCTGAGTACAGCTCCACACTAATGGTGTCATGATGACAAAGGGACCTTATAGGAAAGAAAACTGGGGATTGCAAAGAAATGATCATTTATCAAACAACAAGAAGGACGTAGAGCTTTTATAATCTCGTAGAATTGATTCCAATTATTCAACTAAAATCCAGTATATGTACAAGTAAAAGATGTGAGGCAGTCCAACGCAACACGACGCTATCGTGATGAGCCAAGGCTCAGTAGACGATCACAACAAAGCAAAGCAGCACACGCATCATGCTCATAGCTAATAACAGCAATCGTCGCACTACATGAGCTCATCTCGTGTGTCAGTGTTCATACAGGACGCCGGCTGTGGACTCGGCCTGGCATCGACATGAGGCGTCGTGGTAATGGAAACCCATCTAAGAAATGTCATCTATGCAGAATACTTCCAACCACGGTCAGGATAATGACAGGTAGCATTCATTTCAGGGCTTAAGTTTTCAAAACTAAAACGATTACAGGTCCAAGAGCGTACCGTAAAAAGTGTATTAATGACTTTTTATATGTCACCACGTTAAAGTACAGGACAAAAGATACAAAAGCAACCACCTGGCAGTGTCACATGGTCACACTTTTCAATTCTAATACAACCTGCATACACTGAGCAGGTCCACTAGGATTCCCTAATTACCAGCTAAGCTAATATGCTAGCTCAGCCTCCCTTAGCGCAACAGAAAAAGAGCCATTGTGCCCCCCCCCCCCATCAGGCAGGAGGCTGCTGTGTGCTCGCTCCATTGTTCAGATGTCAAACAGAGGGCTTTGTCTCTCACACACACAAACACACACACACACCAAGCTGCCCACTTGTAGACACATGGAGGGAACAATGGTTTACATGATGGGGGGGGGGGGTCTTATCAGACGTCCCAGCTGGAGATACAAAGAGAGGAGCTCTGCTATCCATGCAGATATTTACATAAACACAAAGCGAACTAACATTTGCATCAACACAAACAAGGCCGGTGTCATTAAGTCCTGATGATATTTCGTAGAATGGAAATATTCCACAAATCCTTGTTATAGGAGTTATACGAGACATTTGCCTCTGCAGTTAATATTGAGTATCTGCTTGTATTAATGCATCACAGAAGCAGGCATTTAATAATAGACAATGTGATGAAACACCTGCACGGTCACCGATCTATATATCATATTTCTGATTATATTCATGCTGGTAAAAATGAGGCAATTCTTCTCTTCCTCACATTTCACGTTGTGATAAAAGCAAAAGCCTTAGTCCACCAGCCTCAGCCAGCACTCAAAGCATCACTGATGCACACATGACTGAGGATTTTTATCACAATATGCATTTGCATTAAAATGGTTGTAACTCAAAACACACTCCTGAGCATTGTGACAGGTGCAATTTCACGTACTTATAAACTACAGAATGGACAAGAAATTCAACCACAGAGAGATTGCTGGATATTCCATTTGCATGACATTGCATTTCGCTGATTACCTCGTTCAAGCTCACGTCAGGGGGATATTTGTACAAATTTGATAATCTGGTGTCTCAGTCCGTCATTATGGTTTTTATTGTCCCGCCCAATAAGAAAACATTCCTCAGTGCAGAGGTCAGAGCAACGCAGGCAGAGCTTGAATGAAAGAAAAGCCCAGTGGTGCCCAGCTGTTTCTCTCCCTCCACATCGAAGCCTATAAATAGCGCCCACGAATCACGTTTGTCCCCATCTTCCTTCTATGAGGAGACCACAGCCAAAAGAAAAATAATCAATCAGTTGGAGCGTGCCAACTGAAATACCGATCCGTCTGTTCTGTCCATTCTCATTTGGTAGGATTTAAACGGACACAGGACAGAGATTAGAGAACATCCTAAAAATACCACGTGTGGTTCCGCTGCCATCCTGCCTTTCATTTTCAGACTGAACGGGGCCTTTTGAAGTCGAGGGGCCGCAAACGGAGCGACTCTCTCTGCGCCTCCCGTTATATCTGCCGACCCCTCCCGCTGTGAGAGGGAAGTGAATCTGAAATGGTCTGACCTGCAGGCCTGTGTCTCCTTCCAGAAAGGACCCCACCCAAGAGCTGCCAGGAAACGGGGGAGGGGGGGGAGACTGATAAGAGGGAGAGGCAGTAGAGAAAAAGGGAGGACAAAGTGTCATGCAAGCAAACCAACCGGTAAAGTCAGTGTTTATTAGGCCTGTGTTTGTTATCTATTAAGTGTTTAATAGTATGAGCAGTATTTTAATGGTGGTCAGAAGATGTGGACAAAAGTCCAGAATCATTTAAGATAATGAGGTAAAACAGAATTGTCAACTTCCTCCACGAACATCCCTACTTCCTCCTCCACCACCTTCTTCCTCCCCTAACCTCTCTACTTCCTCCACCAACGTCCCGACCCCCTCCACCACCACCTTCTTCCTCCCCTAACCTCCCTACTTCCTCCACCAACGTCCCGATTTCCTTGACCACCGTCTCTACTTCCGCAACCAACCACTAGTTCTTCCCCTAACGTCCCTACTTCCTCCACCACAACTTCTTCCGCCCCTAACCTCTCTACTTCCTCCACCACCGTCCCGACTTCCTCAACCACTGTCTATTTCCGCAACCAACCACTACTTCTTCCCCTAACCTCCCTACTTCCTCCACCAACGTCCCTACTTCCTCCTCCTCCACCACCACCACCTTCCTCCACCAACATCCCTACTTTCACCACCACCGTCCCTACTTCCTCGACCACTGTCTATACTTCCTCCACCACCTTCTTCCTCCCCTAACCGCTCTACCTTCTCCCCTAAACGTACTTACTTCATTCTCTAACTTCTCTCATCCTCCATCAATGTCCCTTTCTCCACCAACATACTTCCTCCACCTTCAGACGCATGCTCACAAACTGACAACAAGGCCAAGATGTCAAAAAGTTCAAAGATTTACCAAGAACAAAGAGGAAATGTCACTAAATGTTTTTCACTTTACCAAAGATCTGCCATATAAAATACCAGAGGAACCCTAATAAAGGACCCCCCCACACACACCCACACACACAGTTACAGAATTACAGAGCACAAACACTGTCTGCAATCTTGTTTGGGTGGGTCTTTGTTATAGTTAGTTTTGGGAGGAGCACGAGCAAATTATGG